CAGTGGTACCTCCGGGGAGTACTCCTCGAGTAAAGACGCTCTCTATCCTTCAGATAGTGCCGCCTCGAACAACAAACGCACGGGCAGTACCCCAGCCACCATCTGTCAGTCCGCATTCAACAACAAGACTTACTTCACCACCAGTAGTACAAAAAATGACTGTCAAACGTCAAATTTTGGATATGCCACAACAAATAGCTTATGTGACTCAGCAAGAAGTCAGTCATGTAGTGGCCAGGGATATGACACAACAGGAATTAACATCTGCCAAGCCTCAGGAAGTCAGTCTAACGTTGAAGGATATGGCTCAACAGACCTCCAGACTACGTCTCAGAATATTCGAGAACCCAGTCCTTCAAACAGTCAGACTCTAACAGAAGCTGGGACGAGGGGGATGGACCGACTTATTCAGGCAGCTCGAAATTTCGATGCTCGCCAAAAGGAGAAGCACAATATAACCGTTCAGAAAGCAGCGAATCCAAGCAGGCGACCTCCAGGACACACAACTCATACTACAGGCCTCGCCAGAAATGAAGTGCACGCTACAGGAAGTCGGCCAGGGTCAACCATCTTCATCAACTCAGGCAGCATCGTTACAAAAGGACATCCCAATCGCGTCTCCCATGAAGACACATCAGATATTAACAGAAATCTATCCTTGACGCTAGAAGGGAGCAGACTGAGCACACCATCCCCAGAATTGCTCAGTTAGTGCAACAGATAACAACAGAGGTTCACAATCCTTCGACGTTGCAGGAGGACAGCCCGGTTCAACAAATAGAGACCAGTCCACCTCAGTTGCCACTAGAGGACTTGATGGATCAACTGTCTTCCTTACAAGAAACTGATCCAACATCACCATATATCAATCCGCCTCGATCACTGCCAGAGGAACTATTTCAGATCTAAAACCTGGATCACTTAGTCAGTCATATAACTCAAGAAACCAACAGCATGCCGACTACACCTCCACGGGAGTCGCACAAACTTCCAGTAGAGATGAATCTTCGTCTCCAACAAGAAATCAGTCCTTCTCCTACCCTGTTAGGCAGTTCATCTCTGCATGCGATGGAAAAGGATCATCTGCCTCCACAACCCATCTGCCACAAAGTCAGTCCTTCTAAATCAGAACCTACAGTCATAGATCCTCAAAAACTCCGTCGACTACAGGGCACCTTATCATGGAAACAACGAAGATGCGGCGATGCAGCAAATCCAACCAGAATCGGACATGACATTTGATCTTTTTATGGCTCACAATGCTAATGGCCATTCGATTTCTGGTATGTTGTCACAGTCCTAGACGGCTACCTCCTGGAAGGAGTGTGGATTGTTACTTCTTAAGAACTCCTACTGCAAGAAAGGGCAGTCGTGCCTATATCGAGATCCACCGCCAATAAGAACATTCCGGGACGGAATGACTTTACCAAGAGGGCAGTGTGACGATAATAGATAGTACTGTTGGCGCCATCTATTAGGAAACTCTCCTTCTCGTACCAGTGACTCGCCTTCTAGATCTACGCCAGGTGACCTCAAATATTCTAGATGCCGCTTTGTCGCTCGCCAAACCTCTCTCGAAGCAGCGATTCGGAGTATATATAACTCGACGGCCGGGAGATGGAAGCACGGTGCGGGGTACATTAGAGTAGAGCGGAGTGGAGTGCAATCAATGGCGCGGCATAAGAATTAGTTAGACATAAATAGTGGTGTACATAAATGTTCTATCTGGTCAAGTAAAGTAAAGAAGTGCATTTATTTTTGTGGAATCTCGAGTTTTAATCCACACCCAAAAGAACCCAGAAAAACACTACATTATATTCTGCGGTACAAGGGATTATATATTGAATGTATTTCGAATAAAAGACCATCCGCCTTTTGATGCACCAGGTAAGTATTCTAGAAATATAAGTTAACGAATGCAACAAATCCTTCAAAAGGCAACCCTAGCTTAAACTCATACAGATGTCACTCTTTATTGACAAAGTTTAATTCTGGCAAATCAATATTTTCGTCTACAGCTTAGACTATGTGTGTGGTGTGGACATGTAATTATATTTTTCAATACAATACATCTGGTAGTAACAAACAGCATGTGACCACAAAGAATACTGCAAAGCTTGATCGTGAGACTGAAGAACTGAAACACGAAACCATTCCATTGGACGTTGGCAAGTTGATTCAGCAAGGGCGTCAAGCTAAAGGACTCAGACAGAAGGATCTTGCTACAAAAATCAATGAGAAACCACAGGTGATTACTGATGAACGGATTGCGAGCAAGAGGGTCAGCGTGTCGCGCGTGCCAGAAGGGCTACATATTTTAAGTTTAATTAAGATTCCCTATTTCCAATACGTTTATATCTATAGGGGTTCAGTGAATACAGTGTCTCGCAACTTAATCGTGGTATTATTGTCTCAGCCGTTACCTTACCCTTGATGGTAGAGAGTCTCCCCAAAAACAGCTGACTCAAGTCGGGATTATACACTTGTTGCCTCTTGGCCTACTGAGGCAAAAAAATGATTCCACCTGACAACGAACATGTGTTCCACAAAGACAACAAAAACATGACGAGATAATAAATATCCATACGAGCTTGCCAAGTAAATAAACCTTTGGAAGCTTACGGTCAAAAACAATATACAAAATTTCTTTGTATTGATGAACATTGGTCAGAAAATGATCAAATTTAGTGCACTTGTATAAATGAATTTTCACTGGTTTGTAGTATTTGCAGATCTAAGAGCAAGTGTGGTGGAACGGCCATCTTTGCCCATGAGTCTATCATCTCCGAGGTCTGTCCTATCCATATTATCAACGAGCTGACGAGCTCTCTTTGGAATCTGTGATTGAATATTCTCCAGTTAAAATTCAACGTTTTTGTCTGATTAATATATATATATATATAATATGATAATATATATATATATATATATATATATATATATATATATATATATATATATATTAATCAGACAAAAACGTTGAATTTTAACTGGAGAATATTCAATCACAGATTCCAAAGAGAGCTCGTCAGCTCGTTGATAATATGGATAGGACAGACCTCGGAGATGACAGACTCATGGGCAAAGATGGCCGTTCCACCACACTTGCTCTCAGATCTGCAAATACTACAAACCAGTGAAAATTAATTTATGCAGGTGCACTAAATTTGATAATTTTCTGACCAATGTTCATCAATACAAAGAAATTTTGTATATTGTCCTTGACCGTAAGCTTCCAAAGGTCTATTTTACTTGGCAAGCTAGTATGGATATTTATTATCTCGTCATGTTTTTGTTGTCTTTGTGGAACACATGTCCGTTGTCAGGTGGAATCATTTTTTTGCCTCAGTAGGCCAAGAGGCAACAAGTGTATAATCCCGACTTGAGTCAGCTGTGTCTGGGGAGACTCTCTACCATCAAGGCTAAGGTAACGGCTGAGACAATAATACCACGATTAAGTTGCGAGACACTGTATTCACTGAACCCCTATAGATAGAAACGTATTGGAAATAGGGAATCTTAATTAAAGTTAAAATATGTAGCCC